TAATTTAGAGAACTCTGTTATTTCAACCTACAGTTACATTTACTTTAGATGTTAACACTGAGAACAATCTCAGGATTTGTTCCCACGGACGTCCCCTAGTGGTTTCAATAAATATATATTATTGCATCTTGTGAGAATACAGGTTACTTTACACGTTAATATTTGGGACATTAACATAACAAATGGACAAGAACATCACATCTCCCATTTTCAAGGAAATTAACTTTCATGAGCTATTTCTCTGAGTTAGGATCAGAAAAGCAAGAGAAATGGAATTGACTGATTAGTAAATTTGGAAGGATTACATTTTTATTGCTAAATGTTGGTAAGCGTCAATTTCACTGTAAACAGAGAAACCAGAAAAAATATTTCCTTCTATACTAGTTGAAATTTACAGATAAGCAAAGTAAAAAAAAAAGCTACTTGAGAGCTTCTTAGAGTTTAATACAAGAATATTTACTTAATATATTTTGATACATGATGTTAACAGTGTGTTTTTATGGTTTATAAAACTTGCACTTATTTAATCTTACCACCTGCTGTCATTAAAAGTTATTTTGACACCCCCAAGTATTTCCCAAAACTGCAAAAACTTAAATTGATCAAAAATGTTAAGAAGCTTAAAAATAAACACCTATATCATATATCAAAATTATTTAAAAAAAATTGAATTCTGCCACCCTTATTGATAGTATTAAAATCACCTGCTGCAAATATTTTTCTATTGAAAAATTGTAAATAATACCAATGATGATTTAATTGTGTAGAACCAACAGACCAGCTGATGATATTAAACACATACTGTCAATTTGAAATTTAGTTAATTTATAAAATACATTTAAAGGAAGCTTCAGGTCCCAGAATCCTTTCCTGGAGTCCTCGTCCAATCACCTCCCCAGGCCTCTGGCTCTTTGTCCCAGTCTTTTTATCCAGCCAGTCCCATTTCTGATCCCAATCCCTGGCTCCCGTCCACAAGAATTCAGCCTGAGGCAATTACCCAGCATGGAAAATTTCAACCCAAACAGTTGAAGTTTGGCAAAGTTACAAGCCATTGAAAAGAAGGTCCTATAATAGAAGTGTTTAGCAACTTTAATCAGAAGAGGTGCTACCTGCCCTGCCTATAATATGAGGCTTAAAGGAAGGAGGAACAAATATGATGCTGTAGAAAAATAATTATTGCTAATAAATGACACTCAATCTATTGGTAACATTTGTTTCGCTAATTATTAGTGTTGTGGTAGACTTTGAAGCCTCAGTCATGAACCACAATCCTGCAGTGCTAGGCGCTGTACAGATGGAACAAAAAGACCATCCGAGCCCCCAAAAACTTACAACCCCAATGGTGAAGATCCAGCAAATAGTTGGTGAATTTCATCCTGGGTGCTTCATGTTCTAGATTTTTCTCTCTGGGTCCCAATGGTGGCTTTGATAATGTTATACCAAAGCATAGATACATTTATGTAAAAAGTTAACTTTAACATAACAAAGAGCTAAGGAAATCACATGTCCCATTGCTCAGAAGTTAAAATTCCCATGGGTGATTTTTCCCTGAGTAAGGATCAGACCTGAGGGCTATATATAGGTTATGTTGTAATCAGATTGTCAAGTTGAGTTTTGAAATTGAGGAGGCATGGTAGAGTTTGCTCCCTCTGAGACTTAAAAGCACCAAGCACAAATATGATGCAGACAAATAGTAATAACTAATAAATAATATATTATTAGTTGTATTCATAAAATCGTGGAGTAGCTGGTGAATTTCACCCTTGGTTCTGAAGGTTCCAGGTGCTGTTCCCATGGATACCCCCTTAGGATTTAGATAAATTTGTCCTAACAATACCTGTTACCTTTTGGAGCCTAAGCATAATAATTGGACTAGAACATCACATCTCCCAGTTGCTAGGAAATTAAAACTCCCATGAGCTATTTGCCCAAGTTATGATCAGAGACGATGTCCATAGATCTCATACATTTACCACGCTCTTGTAGTGCTGTGGATATTTGTTTTCTTTGGTTCATCAGCTGCAACTCCAAGGAGGCAACAGCTCTTTGGGGGGTGCCAAGCTGCTGCTGAACACATGGCACTGACAATCCCAGGATTTGTTCCTTCTGATGCCCCCTAGTGGTTTCAATAAATATATCTTATCCTAACGTTACTCCTGGGGGAATTCTGTGCCACTGCGCAATGCAGAAGTTTGCAGAAATTAACGTTGGCGCAGAATTTCCTTTCCCCCACAGAAATGGGCTGCAATGCTGCTAGCCACCACAAGGGGCTACTGAACCCAGCAGAGCCCAGCTCACACATAGAAGACACTGCTGGGGGGTGCGGGAGGGAACTAGAGGATTCCAGGCAGCTGCAGTTCCCAGCATGCCCTGAGGGAAGGAGAGGGCAGTGCACAGGAAACTCCTTGCAAGCCTGGGACCAAGCATCAGGCTGTTTCTCCCTCTGGATCGCTGGGCTCTGGGGGCGGAAGGATACGGATGTCTAGGCTGGGGGGAGGCATGGCTGGGCTCGGGGGCAGGGCCGGCTCCAGGCACCAGCTTGGCAATCAGGTGCTTGCAGCAGCCACTCCAGAGAAGGGCGTCAGGTCCAGCTATTCGGCGGCAATTCGGTGGACGGTCCCTCATTCCCGCTCAGAGCGAAGGATCTTCCGCCGAATTGCCGCCGCAGATCACGATCGCGGCTTTTTTTTTTTTTTTGGCTCCTTGGGGCAGCCAAAACCCTGGAACCAGCCCTGCTCTGGGGTGTTGGTGGTTGGGGGATCAGAGAAACAGGAACTGGGTTGTCAGAGGGTTTCTTTAACTCTCTACTCCTGTGAGAATTTGTGTGTGTGTCTGTATTTTTACAGACATACTTGCTGGCAGGTATTTTGAAATAAATTACCAAAAAATTGAAACTGGCATGACTATGTAGTGCTATTTTGACAAATAACATTTGCAGAATTTAAAAATTGTGCTCAGAATTATTAATTTTAGGATGCAGAGTTGCCCCCAGGAGTACAATGTGATAACATTTAATGTATATGTTAATAGTTGGGACATTACCATAACAAACGGCAAGAACAGCACATCTTCCATTTGCAAGAAAGTTAAAACTTTCATGGCAGTTTTCTGAGTTTGCGCCAGGCCTGATGTCAATATATACTTACTAGGATGTCATAGCGTGGCTTGTATTTAAAAATTTGTTTCTTCTTTTGTTGTAAATACCCAAGTCACCTCAACTGCGCCAGGTAAGCAGGAGGAATGGAACTGATTGATGAGTATGAATCTTAAAATCACCATCAAAAATATTTTGCTATAGAAAATAATTGTAAATAATAAATAATACTGATGATGATTTAATTGTGAAGACCCAACAGAGTAGCTGATGTCAATTTGAAATTTAGTCAGTTTATATAATGTGTTTAAAGGAAGATTGAGGTCCTCTGTTTTCATCACGCTCAAGGAATGGGACACCCATACAAAGAATGGGGATGGAACTGATTGTCTGACTCTACAGGGGAACCAGGGACACAGACTAGACACAAAGTGATATCAACTGCCCAAAGTAAAGAAACTGACTAAACAGAGAAAAATAGTTTTTTTTCCTGTAAATTATGTGGCGTTTAAATTGTGTTTCCTGTTTTCCTCACCCTATAGTGGTGTGAGACCCATATAAACAAAAGGAGAAACTGTTTATGCCAGGGAAATAGTGAAACTGACTATACACATGGTGCTGTCAAATATGTGGAGTAAATCAACTAAACAGAGAACATTTTCCTCTGCTTTAGTCATGCAGCTATCTTGTAAATATTGCAGGTAACATGTTTCACAGCCATAAGAAAGATTCTTTAGGTTGGAGCAGGATATTTATTTTTATAGGTGAAAAACAATGATTGCTAATAAATAACACTCATCTCTTGGTAATATTTATTTATCTATTTATTTCTCTTAAAGTAGACTTTGGAGCCCCAGTCATGGACCATGATCCTACAGTGCTAAGCGCTGTACAGACCAAAAAAAAAAAGACTATTTGAGCCCCAACGAACTTACAAACCTAATGGTGAAGAGCCAGCAAATAGCTGGTGGTGCTTCATGTTCTGGGTTTTTGTCTCTAGGTCCCAATGATAGATTTGATCAACGTTATACCAACGCATAGATAGATTTATGTTAAAAGTTAACTTTAATTTAAAAAAGAGCCAAGAAACTCATGTGACCCATTGCTCAGAAGTTAAAATTCTCATGGTGACTTTTCCCTGAGTGAGGATCAAACCTGACATCTATATATAAGTTATATTTTAATTAGACTGTCAAACTGAGGGTTTAGTTTTGGGATCATTTAATCTGTTAAAGGAAATACCGCTACTGCACTTTTCCCAGCTACAAAAGTCAGCAGTAGGCACAGAAGAGATTGCTCGCTATGAGGTTTAAAAGCACCAGGCACAAATATGGTGTTGTAGACAAATACTGTATTTATTAGTTGGATTAATACAACTGTGGAGTAGCTGGTGAATTTCACCCTTGGTTTTGAAGGTCCCAAGTGGTTTTCCCATGGTTGCCTCCTGAGGATTTAGATAAAGATGTGCTACCAATAGCTAATTACAGTTAATTTACATGTTACCTTTTGGAGTCTAAGCATAACAAATGGGCTGGAACATCACATCTCTCCCAATTGCTAGGAAGTTAAAACTCCCATGAGCTATTTGCCGAGTAATGATCAGAGCCGATGTCCATTGATGATCTGCATTTACCAGACAGTTCTAGTGATGTGGATATTTCTTTTTTGTTTTTGTTTTTTGGGGGGGGGACTTAAAGTAAATATTTCAATCTATAGTTACATTTATTTTTAGACGTTAATATCTGTTACATACGCATAATAAATGGGCAAGGGCATCACACTTCCCAGTGGTTGGGAAGTTTAAAACTCCCACAAGTGACTTACCTATGTAATAATCAGAGCTGATCTGCAGAGATGTCATGTATTTAGCGCTTTGGTAGGAGGTTCTGCTGCAGCTTTCACAGCTATGTCAGGTAAGCAGAAGGAATAGGAGTGGAGTGGGGAGTGATATACCTGATGCTTCAAAGCATCAGGCACAGCTATGGTGCTGAAGAAAAATAATTATTATTGATCAACTAATCATGGGGCACCAAATATATCTTATCCTAACGTGGTAACATTTAATGTCCCCTCTGGGTTCGAATGGTGATTTTGGTAAATGTTATTCCAAAGCACAGATACATTTATGTACAATATTAACATTCACATAACAAACTACAAAAATCACGTCCCATTGCTCAGAAGTTCAAATTCCCATGGGTGATTTTTTCCTGAGTAAGGATCAGACCCATAGTCTACATCTAAATTATATTTTTTTCTGTCAAACTGAGGTTTGAATTGTCAGGTCATTTACTCTCTTATTGGAAATACCACTACCGCATTTTCCCCAGCTACGAAGTCAGTGGTAGGCATACAAGAGATTGCTCAGTCTGAGGCTTAAAAGCCTCAGGAACAGATATGGTGTAGACAGAGTAATGAATAATAAATAATATATTTCTTTGTTGTAGTCATAAAATGGTGGAGTAGCTGGTGAACTTCACCTTTGGTTTTGAAGGTCTCAGGTGCTGTTCCCACGGATGCCCCCTAAGGATTTAGATAAATGTGTCCTAACAATACCTTTTACCTTTTGGAGTCTAGGCATAATAATAGGGCTAGAACATCACATCTCCCAGTTGCTAGGAAGTTAAAACTCCCATGCGCTATTTGCCCAAGTTATGATCAGAGTCGATGTCCATAGATGTCAGACATTTACCACGCTGTAGTGCTGTGGATATTTGTTTTCTTTGGTTCATCAGCTGCAGCTCCAAGGAGGCTACTGCCCTTTGGGGTGTGCCAAGCTACTGCAACGGATGCTGTCTGCAGACCACATGGCGCTGACAATCCCAGGGTTTGTTCCCTTTGATGCCCCCTAGTGGTTTCAATAAATATATCTTGTCCTAAGGTTCTAGTGATGTGGATATTGGTTTTCTTTTGTTCGTCAGCTGCAACTAGTACAGTTGTATGAAGTAGGTTTATGCAGTGTTATTTTGACAAACAAATTTTGCAGAATTTTAAAATATTGTGTGCATAATTTTTAATTTTTAATTTTTAGTGCAGAATGCCCCCAGGAGTATAACGTGGTATCATTCAATGTATATGTTAATATGTGGGACATTACCATATCAAACGGACAAGAACAGCACTTCTTCCATTTGCAAGGAAGTTAAAAATTTCTTGGCAGTTCTCTGAGTTAGGTCAGGTCTGATGTCTATATATATTTACTAGGATGCCAGAGCGTTGCTTGCATTTAAATATTTGTTTCTTATTTTACAGACAATACAACTACCCCGGCAACCACCAATGCCACGGCAACCACCAATACCACGGCAACCACAACTGCACTAGGTAAGCGGGAGGAATGGAACTAATTGATAAGTATGAATCTTAAAATCACAATCAAAACTTTTTTGCTACAGAAAAGAATTGTAAAATATAACTGATAATGACAATGATTTAATTGTGAAGACTCAACAGAGTAGCTGCTATCAATTTGGAATTTAGTCAGTTTCTAAATGGTGTTTAAAGGAAGCTTTCAGGTCCTCCGTTTTCGTCACCCTCTAGCAGTGGGACACCCATACAAAGAATGGGGGTGGAACTGATTGTCTGACTCTACAGGGGAACCACTGACACAGGCTAACACAAAGTGTTATCAAATGCCCAAAGTAAAGAAACTGACTAAATGGAGAAAAATAGTTTTTTTCCCCCTAATCTCTCTGTTAAAGCCATTTTGCAAATAAAGCACGTAACAAGTTTTTTCACAGAGAAGCGTGTTTTAAGTAGATGGAAGTTCTTTTTAAAAATCCAGAGTTTTATTTAAACACGTGGCGCTAGAAAACTTGGGTGTTGAAAAATAATAGTAAATAACACATACAACTGCTGATGATATCATGGTGAATAGCCATTACATTTGCTGAGCACATTACCCACTTGAAATCCAGTCAATTAAAAACATGACTTTACAGTAATTTCAGTACCTACATAAGTCCCTGAGCCACATGGCCAAATTCTGTGCAGTTAAAATTGTGTTTCCTGTGTTTTCCTCACCCTATAGTAGTGTGAGACCCATATAAACAAAGGAGAAACTATTTATTCAGGGGAAATAGTGACACTGATTATATACATGGTGCTGTCAAATATATGGTATAAATAAACTAAACAGAGAAAACATTTCTCCCTGTTCTAGTCTTTCATTTGTAGCCATCTTGTAACTATAGCAGGTAACATGTTTGTCAGCCCCGAGCAAGATTTTTAGGCTGGTGGAGATTCCTTTAATAATACTGATATTTATTTCTATGTATGTCTGTTGAAGGGGTCCCTGGGTCAGTATATGTTTACTGGACTGTGGTTATGTGGTTTCTATTAAAAGGTGACAGAAATCATATATATGTAACCCTTCTGCCCCTCTAAGTTGGCAGCAACAAGGGCCGGGTTCTGTATCTATGGGTTCCGTTTCAATAACGCAATGCAAAACTGGTCGAGCCCCCACCCAGTGACCTGGGACAATTACATACCACCCCCTGGGCGCCTCTAAGAGGCAATACTTCCCCTCTCGCAAGCATGGAGTCTGAGTGTAACAGAAAATGTTTAATAACATGAGGTAAACGACATCAGCATTAAATTGGAAAAACACCACAAACAGGATTCATAACACAAACCATGAGCAAAAAACCCACCCCAGCAAATTGGGCTGTGTCCTTTCCCGTTGGTTCTTGAAACCAGCAACCCAAGAATCACCAAAGTCCCAAAAGTCCAACAACCCCAAAGTCTCTTGGGTCCAGCAACCCAAGGATCACCAAAGTCCCAAAAGTCCAACAGCCCCCCAAAGTCGTGTTAAGGGGCACCTTACGTGATCCGAGGCTGATGGGGTTCCGCCGCAGCCTTTACCACGAGCTGCTCCACTCCACCAGCTGTCCCGTGAGCTGCTCCCGCCGTCCCACAAACTGCTCTGGCAGCTCCTCCGCTCTGCTCACCAACCTGTGAGCCGCTCAGCTCTGCTCCACTTCAGCCGTCCCAAGGCTCCGCTCTGCTCGCTGCTCCTCCAGCCGCTCCGCTCTGCTCTGCTTACCGACCTGTGAGTTGCTCAGCTCTGCTCCAACCATCCCCACGAGGCTCCACTCTGCTAGCTGCTCCGCCAGCCGCTTAGCAATATAGCTTCAGGCTCCCCCACTAGTTAACACAGCACTCAGTGATCTCAGCTCTTAAGAACTTTAGCTCGTTTGTGATTTCAGCTCTTAGCAATTTCAGCTCATAGTAGGGGAGCTAGTGCACCATTGGCCCAAAGTGAATTCAGCTCAGCAGTCTGTAACTAGACTCCTAATGGAATCAAAGTTAGCTCTGACATTCAACAGTGAAGAGAGAAGGTATATAGAATCATAGAATATCAGAGTTGGAAGGGACCTCAAGAGGTCATCTAGTCCAACCCCCTGCTCAAAGCAGGACCAATTCCCAGCTAAATCATCCCAGCCAGGGCTTTGTCAAGCCGGGCCTTAAAAACCTCCAAGGAAGGAGACTCCACCACCTCCCCCATCTTATATGGAACCAATCACCAGAGACCCCAACCATCAAAAAATCACCAAATGTGCTTTGTTGCTT